ATAAAAGTACCGGCGGAACGCGCGGTCTCGACAACGTTTTTGTTTTTATCGGGCCACGTTGTACGTAAATACGGCTGTTATGTAAACGGCTTGGCGGCCGGAAGCGCGCCAAAACCCGCCGGCTATTAAGCAATAGTTTAACACTTCCTCGTAACGATTCTTCTTCGTAACGAGTGCTCTCCGCAACGCGGAACGCGGCCTCAGGTGCGGGAGTCTCGGCGCCAGCTTTTACTCAATATTTCAATCAACCGACCGCCCGCGTCGTGTTTAATCGATTCAACGCGTTTCCGGGGAAACTCATTTAGACCGCTCACCCCTTTCCTCCATTTCTCCCTTCTGCTCGCCAAGATCAAGATGTGGAACGGTTGGATAAAACGTGCAATTTGTGCGAATTTTATCTTTCGGCTGTCCACTTCGTCGAAAATCGTTGACCAGCGAATTGCGAGAAATTTTGGAATAGATAATGCACGTGAAAAGCTGAAGAATGCAGAAAATTTCAGATTCGGCAATTTCGATAGAATTGTGAGAAATTCGAGAAATTTTCAAAGCCTTGTATTTGCTCTGCATCGTTATTATTTTCGCAAATATTGAGATAATAAATTCCTATATGTGCATGCAGGGCGAAGTAAAATTTTCACATGTGTAAAGTGGTCAAAGTGGTGCGGAGATATGATTAGAGCTAAATTTAAATAATAATAAATTTACAGTAAATGCATACAGTAGTATTCGTACAGAGAAAATATTTTCTAAAAAATTTTATTTTTGAAAATTAAACATCCAGAATAAATAATGAACTCATTGAATTGATATCGAATCGATACGATGATTTCGACTCGAAATTCGATTCAAAGTCTAATTAATGGTCATTTCTTGCTCGATAATTAATAATTTGTTCATAAGGAATAAAATAGACTGTATATTTCAAAATTATATCAAAAAGTATTCGTACAGTCGAGAAATTTAGCTTCTAAAATCACAAATACACAAAGCTCATTTGTTTATGTTAGAACAAAATGCATTTATTGCATAAAATCTAATTAATGTTTATTTCCTATAAGTAAAGTTTGTTTCATAAAAAATTTCCGAAATACGAATACTTTTGTACACTTACTATATATATTATAAATTATGTGTGTGTGTAACATATATTATATTATGCATATATTATATACATATATATGTGATACACATATCAAGCAGATCAGAATTTTTGAACGTGTCTCCATATCAAATATGGACCTTATCTAATTGGTGGCCCAGAGAAAGAAAATTTCGTCAAAAGGCAGATCATGCAATATTATTTATTAAGATATTGCTAATAAAAAATCTATTAATTACTCATTAGAAAGTTTAAGTGTAGCTCGGCATGTGAAAAATCTACTCATATGCCAAATTTATGTGGACTGTTTGAAATACTCCACACACAGATCGTCAGCTCTTTGTACGTGCGACTGAAAATAACACATGCATAATATATTATTGTAAAATTATAAAAATTTAAAATTTAAAATCGATATCTTATATACCTTAAATATGTATACACTCTTTAATTACATTAATAATAAACATTAATGCATAAATCTTATTTTTAACATTTTCTATCATTTTAAACTGATAACAGAAAATGTTAAAAAGGTTTAAAACTTTTAAAAGCAAAGTCTCAAGTAAAGAAAGTAACTTTTTTGCTGTATGTGATTTCAAAGTCAAAGACTTTTGTCAATATTATATAATCGACTTGGAAATGGCACCACTTGTGGAACAGGATGCACAACGTAGAGAAAAACTTGGAAAGTTTTTAAAATTTTAAATGCTTCTCTAAAAATTGCGCTACGATTATCTTTTTGCGAAGTCATTTTGTCATTTTCATCGTCAATTTAAAGCCTCCCAATTTTATTTTATCAATGATAATAATTTAATATTTATCATTTATGGACAAAAGAATACTTATAAATAAATAAATATAAGTACATTTTATTTAAAAAATGTTGAGCTTAAAAATTTGTTTATTTAAAAAAAAATTTAGCGTTTCGAAAATATGACATTCTAACGATTTGATCAGAAAATTCTTTGAAAGAAACACATCGAAGAAACCGAAGGTTAAAGGAAATACGAAATATTGAAAGTCGATACTTCAAATACTCACCTGATCGCTTTCGTTCAAGAAACTGCATAGCTTTAATACTTTCAGTAGTATATTCTCTACTTTTAATACTAACTTCCATGAAAGGTAAAAACTTTAAGTTTTTTAAATGCAACGCCGGCATATACGACAATTTCATGCAATCTGCGAAGCAGCAGCCTATTCCTGTAATACGACGCAATTCGCAGAGCGTCTTTGAAGACAGCAATGAAAAGTAATAAGTTAGGAGATGATTGAAGCAGAAAGGGAAATGGGTTAAGTGCAGTCTTCCAGCACAAGTAGTCTTATCACATGATTCAAATCGATTCATTCCCGATTACATTCTCTTTGTGTAGCAAGAATTTTCAAAGATAATGGTAGAAACAGTGCAACTAACATTTCAAGTGTATATATACAATAAAATAATAAAAATAGTTTCAATGAAACATACATATGTATTATTATATTAATATGTATATCAGGATGTTCCAAAAAATACTATATTGCGAAAAAATACTATATAAAAAGAATTCTTTATTGTTAAGTTATGTCTTTTTGATAAACTTCACAAATTTTTCTTCATTTTTGCTTAAATTTCAATTTTGATTGAATAAAATTTTTAACATTTGAGTTAAAAGACTATAATGTAACAGAGATGTTGAAAAGTAACCTTGAATTTTTCCATATTTTTTTGAAAGCCTAGAATAATAAAAAAACTTGTGCTGAATAAAAAAGACCCAGATTGCAAATAGAATAAAAATATGATTGCATACGGAGAGAAAAATTTATATATAAAACTTGCATAGTCACCTTTACGGTTGCTATTAGTTTATTTTTCTCTCTGCACATATAATTTTATCATGTTATCATCTGTTACATTTTACATCAAGGAACTGAAATGCAGCCAAGAACCGAAATTCGATTGTGGACGCAAAAATGGTTGGCAGAACGACTACGTCGTTTCTGAGGTGTGTAAGTAAGCGGGTAAGCTCGTTTCCTTCTCATAGTTTAGCGCCAGCTCTGGATCACGCACTTTGCCGGCAAGTTAGCGGCAAGTTGCCGCCTAGTTCAGGCTTGTGCTCGTATATACTGAACTGCAGGTGCAACCGGTTTGAGAGAACTTTGACATGTATTATACTCGGTAAGTTGGAGTACTCGCAACCATCCTTGCGCACGATATTGCTCGATCGCGATCTAATCGCTTGGCTGGTCGAGAAATTCTGGAAATTCAGAAAATCATCTTCTAAAAATCTGCCGGGTAAATTGTCAACAATTTTCTGAAATCTTCTATCTTTTCTTCTCTAAATAAGATAAAAGCTGAAAAGTCAAGAAAATAGAAAAAGAAATTTCTATTATCTACTATTGTTTTCAAATCTTCCCAACTTTTTTATATATCTACTCTAAAATTCTGGGTTATATTTAATAAAAAACTTGAGAGCTTCCTTAACCAATTCAGGAGTTCTCTAGGTTTACGAATTTAAAGGTAGAGCAAGTCAGAAAGTTGACCGAATCGTGAGAAAAGAATTTCTATCGGGTAGCCATTTGTGTGATGTCCAAAAACTTTTGAGAAAGTCAAGAGAGTCTTTGAAGCTACGAAACTCAAGTGCAAATCTAATGCGGCATCCATCGGGAGTATCGTACATAGCCATTGAACCAAGTTAAATTTGCCATTAGTGGATCGGAGCTTACTTTAGAAGATATAGTCCATCTAATGGGCGAGAAATTTTACTGAAAATATTTCCACTCACTGCTTAAATTATGACTTATTTGAATTTTTGTAAAATGATAAAATAAAAAAATTTTAATGATAAACGTAAATTGATACTTTAAAAAAAGTTTAAATCTAAAAAATACGTGGAAGATAGATATTTCACTTGTATTAATCATTCTATATATAAATTAATCAACTCATTTAAAATGGGGATTCAATTATTTCGGCTTACAAAATCCGCAATTTGTTAGATATTCAGATTTTCCAATCTTCGCGTTTCCCGATCGTCCTGTGGTTTTGCATTTTTCTGCACAGGAAGAAAATAGATTCACGTTGGAAGTAGAATGTCGCGGTCCGGCCGCGCGATTCTCTCGAGAATCTCTCTCTCTCTCTCTCTCTCTCTCTCTCTCTCTCTCTCTCTCTCTCTCTCTCTCTCTCTTCATGTGCAATACTATGCCAGGGTTGCAATTTCTCGAGAACATTCCCGCTCCAACATCCTTCGGAGACCTCGGTTCCGCTTGCATCCTGGATTCCTTTACCCTGGCGAGGTTCAAGATTCCTCAGACACGCTCTGGTCTCGTCTGACGAATTACATTTCCTGAGATTTTGTCACGTTATCTTCCAAAAGGAAGTCTCGTTGTTAGCATGTGCCATCTAAGCGGTTACTCGCCCCAAGGCACACTCGCATTAGTAAAGTCTCGAGCTTCGTAAAATTCAACCCGATAAAACATATATTTCTCGCTCACTAATTCTAACTTTTGCCCCGATGTCGAAAATACTGAAACAATTTTGAAACGCAAAGTTGCTCAACTTTCTATATGTAAGAAATTACTGAAGTCCGTTTCGCAAGTTTTCAAATGTGAACACGTCTAAAATTTTTTTTAACTTTTAAAGACTTCAACGAGGTTCAAAAAGAAAAAATTAAAGATTGTACTTAGTAATATAATTAACAGCATAAAATTTGAAATTTCAAGATAAGGCTAAAAGAATTTGATTATTTAGAAATGCAAAACTTTTCATGAATATTTATATTCTTTTCTTCTTTAATTTTACTTCTAATTAAATTTCTATTTTTAACTTAACTATTTCCGCAAGTGCACAATTTAATTATAAGTCTTTGAACTCATTGCGATATATTATGTTATAAATTTTTAATTCCCATTATAAAACTTGCAATATCTGTACTAAACAATAATCGTAGAAATTTCCAAATATTCTGACTCTTCAAGTTCAATGCAAGATTTTCTAGTCGACGAGTGAATGCGAGCTTAGCATTTCCTAGCTGTGTCAGTTAATCCTTGGTTTCCCGATAAGACTCTGAGGCTCGTCGAAGCTCGATTTATCGTGGTACAATATGTCGCAAGCCAGTACTTGCAAGCTCGTGTTCGAAAAGGGACGATCGATCGCTGAAACGCAACCCCTGTAATTTGTTCACATAAATTCGCTCTCTCCAACCATGCTAATATATCCTGTACGCACGAACCATCTCTAAGGGATTAAAGATATTGAAAAACGGAAATTTTGAGGAAGCTTGGACATATTACGTAAAATTACATTTATAGAATACTATTAGATCGCTCTCTTTGCATTTCAGTTTCGAAATAATTGATAAAATATTGGATTTTTTTCCAAATTTCTAAGTTATTATTAATTTATGTTATGAAATAATTTTGATAATTAGACATAAGAAATCCATGAATCCAAAGAAATGCCTATTAAATGTTCTATAAATTGGTATAACATATTATATCAGTAATATCGTACGTAAATAATACTTACATTTTAATCGGAATTGATTTAAGTATATAATTCATAATTTGATAGAGCTCTTAAAATTCTACTTATAGAAAGATATTAGACGTATAAAAAATAATTTTAGTATATAAAAGATTTAAAAATTTCTATGTAATAGTTTCAAATTTGTTAGAACTTTCTAAACTTTTCATCCTTTTGCGTATTAAAAATAATCGTTAAAACTCTTAAAAAGCCAGAATTTGTAAGGGAATACTAAAGAAGATTTTTTTTGCGTAAATTAATTTAACAACTTAGTAAATTTAACTTTAAAGTTTTATTTTTCACGTCACTGGTTTTCTCGCACCTCTGGACATATATTGAGATACTTAGACTGCTAGATATATAAGTTCTGATAGACGAGGCAACAGGAGCGGGACATAAAAACTATCGTTTCGCTACTCTTTCACAGGCTCTACTTCTTCGCGGGTATATCGGAGTCCAGGTGTAAATGAGAAAAAAGTAGAGTTCCTTGGAAACTTTCGGAGCAAAGTTCTCCTCCATTACACTCTCATTCGTTCTCTGTATCTCCACAGTTTTGGGTCTAGGTGTCGGTGAAATATATATGTATATGCATTTGTATATGCAACAGCGAACAAGGGTGCGCCGATATTATCAACAATAACATGCGTCAACATGAGGCAAAATGTTAGTTACGAACTAATATTAAGTTATAAAGTAAATAAACGCGGTTACGTTACTGTTAGCTTTAAATCATAAAATCTAATCAGGAATAATTCATGCATCATTGCGATTAAACGCTTCGATGCCCAAAAGTTTAATCACGTTTACTTCCTCTTTAAGTTTACTTCTTCTTAGACATATGATGTTGTCAATTTGTAATGAAATGAATTAAATTCATAAAGAAGGAGAAATGTTACTTTTTAATTAAATAACATACTAGAATAAATTTCACATATAAATTACAAAAATAAAAATATAAACAAATAATTTAAACAATCATAATCCTTGCTTATCCTCGTTATTTTTTGTTCCTCACCCACTATTATATGATCATTCACGTTTTACACTTCTATTAACGAATTACGTCGTAATAGATGATTCTCAACCGCATTTTTACTTAATTTCAATCTTCTAGTATACGATTAAAAAGCGAAATAACAATAATAATTGATGAAACTATATAATTTTGATACGTACTTTACTGAAATGAATGACTCCACAAAGGAAAGTAAGAATTAACTTAAAAATGTATTTCTGCCATAAAATGCCGATGATATTTTTGTACTGATTATATAACACTGTATCTTTTATTATCAATTATTTTGAAGAATGATTTTAAAAAGTGTTGAAAAAAATATCGAATATTAAGTAGACAAATTATTGCATAATGATATTAATTTTTCTTTTTTATTTTCATAGAAAAATAAAATTTTAATATTACTTTCTTTTATCAAAATAATTTTGCAGATTGATTATAATAATTCAATATGATTTGTTTGTTTGTACATTGAATAACTGACAGGACACTGCTACACGAAAATTATAATCGTACATGACAAACGAAGTGACGTTTTGTGAGCAGTAAAGTTTATATTTCATTAAAGACATTGAAATATCTCAACAATAAAACAATGCGAGTGGCATTATTTACGGCAGCACTAAATTTTATGTTTAAATAACGATGTTACGATGGCCACGTTTTTTCCTACGGCCGCGGTTATTAAATAACCAGTAATTTAATTGCCGCCATTAATTTTGCGAGCGTTCTCTCTATCATTCGCATTTGCCGTCGCTTGCGCGCGTTATGAAATTCTTTCTCGGGAATTCGCAATAACCAAAATATAAAGGTGTGTCGCGGTGTGTAGAATGAAAGAGCTCCAAATGCACTCGGTTCAATGTACTCGGCGACTTTTCACAATATTCAATAGTATTTAATTCATAAAGTAAAAGTGAAAACTAAAATCTTAGGGTGAATTTTATCAAAATCGCTTTAACGATTTCAAAGTGCACACGATCGATCTAACGGATTTAATAAACTATGTATTGTATAATAAACATATATTTTTACAAAACTTTTTCTTACTACATGTATTATTTGTAACAATTAGATTATTTTATAGTAGATTAACTATAATAAAGAAAAACAGAATGACATTCGTTTATTTGCTTAATAATAAACAAAATTAAAGGATCAAGAGACGAGTAAATTAGATGTTAAGATAATTAAAAATTATTTAATAACTTAATAAGATAAAATATGTAAATTCGACTAACACTAAGTCTTTATTAGCATTGAAATTTACTAATAAAAACATATGATTGAAGAAAATAATATTTCATAATTTAACATATTAAATTAAAATAAAATGACACAATTAGTGGCCACATCAAAACTAGATAAATAATTTTTATAATTTTAATAATTTTTTCAAATTTTAATATGATAATTGTGGATACGTAATTATAATAAATGTAATAATGAAGTAAATTTAATGTAAATATACATAATAAATAAATATAATAA